ATTAAGTGTACCTATCTATTTAGTTTTAATAAATCAGTAATGCACCATTTTAATGAGCAATGCTGCAGATAAAGCATGTTTTTATTGTGTTTACCCCCTGTGACAGTTTAGATTTAGATATTTTATGCAGGTCCTGCGTACTGTGCTGCTCTTCTGGAGGGAGGGCCTAATGGTTATTTCCCGCTTTGGATTGGTTCAGCGGACTGATTTTGCTCTCGCCATTGGATACTTTCAAACTAACGAACAAATCAAAAAAACGAAATGCGTCTTGGATGTAACGAGTAACGAAACGCTGTATAGAAATGTAGTGAAGTAGAAAGTACAGATACTTACTGTTAAATGTAGTGGAGTAAAAGTAGAAAGTATCCATTATTAAATCTACTTAAGTAAAGTACAGATACACGGAAATTGTACTTAAGTACAGTAACGAAGTACTTGTACTTCGTTATTTCGCACCACTGCCCATTAGCACGTGAAAACCCCAACTGCCCGTTGATATGAACACATGACACTATAAGTCATGCTTTACTGATTGATAATGTAAATCATCCCTCTACAGTAATCATCAGCTTGGAAAAGCAGTTTTATTGTGTCCATACAGCATCACAGTGGATTAATGGATAATGGATGTCTGGTTTGATGGTCTGATTTTATGCTAGGACGTTTTTTTTTTTAAGTCATGAGACCTAAAACTTTAGAAATGAATGAAAAGGTTCTTCTTTTATACATGAAATTTCCCTGATCTGGCTCGTGAGTTAGTTTGACTGTGTCATTTAATCAGAATTTGACAAATAGAGGCTCAAAGCTGAACGAAAAGTTCCTAAATTCTATGTTTGCTTGTTGTCGGTTGTTGCTTTTTAACACGCGCCTGTCCTTTTTTTTTGCTGAACGCGTGTTTAAAAGATGCTGTTTTTTGTGTGTGCGTTTGTGGCCTCAAAGGGAAAACACTGTGAGGCTCCACTCGATGCCTGTGTCAGCAATCCCTGCACCAACGGAGGAGTGTGTCTGAGCGATGAGCAGACGGGAGGGTTCAGGTACAGGTCCAAACACCCCACAGACCACCACCCTTCAGTGGATGTCACCTGAGTCCACAAAAGAGTAGAAGAGAAGAAAACAGAGCTGTTGTTTCTCCCTAAAGAGGAAAAAAAGAGGAAAATATTTATAGATGGCATTACACAATCAGGACCACACGTACATGTTCAGCTGCTGTCACCTTCATCACATTAAAAGATTCATTAGAAGACTAGATTCAGAGATGTATAATAGAAGGCTTTCTGTTTTGCATTTTATATTATACACTCATCATCTAAATCAAACATGCAACAACTGACTTTCTACCATCTGGAACAGCTGTGTGAGCCCTAAGAAAGCCAAAATAAAAGATAGTTCACACTTTATATCAGTCAGAGCTAATGTGCCCTACTTTTTTTAAAGCATTGCATGTTTGCCACTTTTTCCATTTTTAAAAAACCTTCCAAATTTTCTACAGATGCAAACGTGTGTGTTAAATTGTGATCAGACACTTGTGCTCATTAGTTATATCCTTTTTTATTAATTCTGAATAAGGAGGGAGTGACAGTTCATTTCATTCAATACAAAGAAAAATTATTCATTTCATTCAATACAATGAAAAATTAATACAAAAAAATGAAATGAAAGGCAGCAGAAAGAAGAAAATAATCCTATAATATCTGGATCAAAACAACAAAAAAAGAAAAAACAAATTTGATTTGTCTTATGTGACAAAAAAAGAAAACAAAGGAAGAACAAGAAACAAGGTCAATCATCAATCTCAACTGAACGATACTATACTCTGACTTTATACTATTTCATAGTTCATATACATATATCCAAGTAGAAAGTGATAGATTTCACAGGATGTCATTTAGAATCATTATTAGCCTATTAGCCAAGCATTTATTTGATTAAAAACTTGGATGTTGTTGTAGAATTAAGTTTCTCCGCGTTATTTAGCATGTTTTTCTTCCCAGTCACGGAGTTTCTCAGCATCCTTCTGACTTTGTTGCTGTTTTTGGCCATCTAGCTGTACGTGCGCCTTTGGTTTCCATGGCACCTTCTGCGAGGTGAACGTGGATGACTGCGAGGACCACGGATGCGACAACGGAGCCACCTGTGTCGACGGAGTGGGGAACTACACGTGCTTGTGTCCTCCGAACTACACAGGTCAACACCAAAATGGGGATCAGCCCCCCACCTCCCCTCCCACTCAGAAACCCGCCTGGCCGACGGGCACAAACCTTCCTCTCATCCGCAGGTCTGTTCTGTGAGGAGGAGGAGAGCGCTTGCTCTCCGGGCAGAAACCCCTGCAAGCATCAGTCCACCTGCGTCAGCGGCCCCACAGGTCCCAGGTATCAGGGCGCTCACACGTGGATTTCACACCTGAGCCTTCAGTAGTGCTCCGCCTGAATCAATCCACCCCTCAATAACTATTTTATGGTTATAAAAATCATCTTATTATGTAGAAATACAGTATAAACATCAGGGGTGCACAAGTCAAAGATGTTAGCCAGGAAGCCTCTAACAGAAAATAAATGTCTATTAAACTGTTGCTTTAACCAATCAGATTTTAAGTTGGTGACACCAGGGCCTTCTAGAAGGCCTAAGGGAAAGTCACCGTATTCTCACCCCCTGATTGGATAGTCAGATAGCGTACCGGCCAAAGCTATCAAACTACTACTGCAGTAACAGCTGCCCCCTCTCCTCAAAAAAGAAACCCATCAATAATATCCTTATAAACTCGCAATATTATTTAGGAAAAAAACAACATTTTACTCACTTACTTTTCTTGAAAAGTCCATGTTGAAAATGGCCTTGACAGTAAATTTGCCACAAAATCAATTTATTCTCCTCCTTTAGCTATTTTGGAATGAAAAAATAGCTATTACACCAACACAACTATATTTCGGTTAGTTTGCTAGCTTTAGCTGGTATGCTATATGACTATCCAATCAGCAGGTGTGAATACGGTGACGTTATGCCTTCTAGAAGGCCCTGGTGTCACCAATTTAAAATCTGATTGGTTAAAGCAACAGTTTAATCTACATTTATTTTCTGTTAGAGGCCTCCAGGCAGACGTCTTTGACTTTGACCCTGCCTAGCAACAAACGATGGCTGAAATTGTGATTGGTTAAATGCTTTAATATGAAAATACATGTCTAGAAGCAGCACAACCAGGGGAAAAGCTATGAAAGGAAGCGGATAGACCATTTGGAAATATTTAATAAGTATTCATGGACAAAATATAATTAACTTCAGGCTGTGATTCAGATATTTTCTTAAGCCAGCAGAGAAGGCCCACCAGTGTCTCACACACACACATACACACTCATTTAATTTTAAATCCCGACCACGCTCTGCAAAGTTTGAGACCCTCTTGACCCTCTGAGGCCCCGCTGTGTGTCACTGGCCTGTGTTTTTATTGTCCAGGTGCGTCTGCATACCGGGCTGGGTGGGGCCCGACTGCGGCATCGACTACGACGAGTGTGTGGACCACCGCTGTCAGAACGGGGCTCAGTGCGTGGACTCTCTGGACGGCTACAGCTGCGTCTGTTCACAGGGATTCAGGTACTGTAGCTCGGGGAGAAGCGGGAACACGGGAACTTTTTTTCTGAGCCAAAAGACACTGGCCTAGATTTCAAACATTGTGGCTAATAGATATATAGATTTACACATAATGTTCTAATCGATGTTTGTCAAGTAATCACACACTTGTCAGTGATCTGATTGTTTTTTATGCTTTTGTTTTTTAGCTGTTATTAACCTCTCAGAATATTTAAGAATATATGAACCTAATAGAATATATCAGAATATATTAACCTAATAGAATATGTAAGAACATATAAACTTTATAGAATATGTCA